GAGGCTTGCAGTCAAGGTACCCATCTGATAAAATAGACTGGAGATAAAGAAGGTCCCACATACCAATAAAGGATGCAGTCCATCAAGAAAGACTCAACAATTGTAAATATGTGTGTATTGAGTGCTGGGGCACCTGGTTTTGTAAACCAAACAGTAATAGGCACAGCAGTTCAGTTAGCTCCTGATACAGTAATAGTGGTGACTTCATTACCCTACTCTCATCTTTAGACAGGTTATCCTAACTAAAATTCTCGAAACACACTTCAGAGGTAAACTGCATCACAGATTGGATGGGTTTAGTAGATATCTATAGAATATTCCAGGGAGCCTTCTCTAAAAAGGCCACATTCTAGGTCATAAATACATTCTAGGTCTTAACCAATACAAAAAAATTTATATAATTTCCTGTACCTTAATAGATAAAAGTGAAGCAATACAAATAGCTGGAGACTGACTAATCCATTCTTAGGAAAACAAGAGCAAGTCAAACTCAAAAGCACTAGGATGTGAGAAATAACAGAGACCACGGTAGAAATTAATGTGTGGGGGTTAAGCAACAGTACATAGACTGAATCAAACAAAGTGATTCTTTGAGAAGATAAACAAGACTGACAAACTCTGGTCAAGGTAGCCTAAAGAAGAAGAGAAGATCCAAATTAATAACATTAAAGAGGCAAAAAGTGGGGTTATGGCAGACTTCACTGAAATCCAGAAGGTCACCAGAAAATAACCTGAAAATGCGTATTTTCCCCAAAACAGAAAATCTAGAAGAAAGGGACAAGTTTCTAGAGACATGACCTACTGTGGTGGTTTGAATGAGATGTCTGTCATATTCTCAGGTATTTGAATACTTGGTCCCCCAGTTGCTGATGCCATTTGGGGAGGCTTAGGGTGTATGGCCTTGCTGGAGGGAGTATGCCATCGGTGTTGGGCTTTGAGGTTTCAAAGGCCTATTCCTACCCTTAGTTCACTCTCTGTTTCCTGCTTGTAGACTGAGATGTGAGTTCTCAGCTGTTCCTGCAGCTATGCCTGGTGCTGGCTGCCAACCCTCCCAAAGTGATGGAATCATATCCCCTGGAACCTGAAGCTCAAAATAAGCCCTTTCTTTTTTATAAGTTGTCTTGGTCATGGTGTTTTATCACAGCAATAGAAAAGTAACTAATAGCACCTACCAAAATAAAGTCAGGAAGATATAAACAAGCGGATTCATAACAAGGACCAAAGGACATGCCTCAACATGACAAAGGCTATACTCAACAGATTTTATACCAAACAAGGGAAAACTGAAAGCATTCCTCAAACATCAAGAATGAGCCAAAGGTGCCCAGGTTCATTGCTTGATGTCTTGGCTACAGTGATAAGACAAGAGAATAAAAGAAAAAGAACAAAACAGGACAGCAGGAAGCCATGGCATTCCTATTTACAGTTGATGTGATCCTGTACTTACAAGACCTTAATGGGGCTAGAGAGATGGATCTGTGGCTAAGAGCACTGGCTGTTCTTGCAGAGGACCTGGGTTGCTTGCGTTCCCAGCACATGAATGGCAGCTCACAACAATGTATGTATATTATATATTCCACTTCCAGGGAATCTGATACCTTCTTTTGACTTCCTAGGGCACTGTGGATGCATGTGGTGCACATTTATACATGCAAGCAAACACTCATACACATAAACATCTTTTTGTTTTTTGTTTGTTTGTTTGTTTTGAGACAAGGTTTCTCTGTGTAGCTTTGGAGCCTGTCCTGGAACTTGCTCTGTAGACCAGGCTGGCCTTGAACTCACAGAGATCTGCCTGGCTCTGCCTCCGAACTGCTGGGATTAAAGGCATGTGCCACCATTGCCTGGCTTCTTGTTTCCTTTTAAGGTGCTGGGATTAAAGGCATGCCCCATCACTGCCTGGCACATACACATCTTTTTAAAAAAGACCTTAATGACTTAACCAGAAAACTTGGATCTGACAAAGACTGTTGGAAAAATATCAGGATGCAAAAATCAACATGCAGAAATCAGTAACTTTTCTATATACCAATAACAAACTTTCTGAGAAAGAAATCAGGAAAAAGAATCTCATTCACAGTGTCTAAAAAAATAAGCAGACCTAATCAAGGAGGCGAAATACCTCTACAATGAAAACTTTGATACTGAATAAATAAATCAAAGAAGACACCAAAAGATTGAAAGACCACCCATGTTTAAAGATCGGCCGAATCAGTGTTGTAAAAGTGTCTATATTACTGAAAATGAGCTACAGATGCAACAATATTCCCATCAAAGTTATAATTGAATTCTTCAGAGAAATAGACAATTCTAAAACTCATATGAAAAACACGCAGATGGTTCTGCAAAGCCAAAGCAAGGTAAGTCAAAAAGATGAGCAAGCATCACAGTATGTGATCGTAGAGAATGCAGCACAGCTGTAGCAATCAATGCAGCAGGGTCCTGGTACTGTACACACGTGAGGACCAATGGAATAAGATCTAGAAATAGATTCCCACAGCTACAGCCACTTAATTCTAGACAAACTTAAGAAAACGCAATCTTTTAACAAAAGATCCCGAGAAAACCAGATAGTTAACCTTATCTAGAAGAAAGAGACACAATCCAGGTATCTCAGCTTACCAAAAAGGTTAATTCAAAGTGGACCAATGACACAAAACTGTGAAAACTAGAGGAGAGCATAGATGCAGCACTTCAATGTGTAAGCACTAATAAGGGCCTTTTGAAAAAGACTGCAAAAGTGCACAAAAGAATCCCAAGAATTGACAAATGAAATTACATAAAACTAAAAATCTTATGTACAGCAAATGAAAGTATCACCAGAGTGAAGAGATGGTTTACAGGGCAGGAAAAAATTTGCCAACTACATACCAGATATGGTATTAATTTTTTTTAAGCTACAAAAATTAAGCACTAAAACTCCTAAATGAACAAATCAACAAATGGGCTAATGAACTGAAGAGACAGTTCTGAAAGGAAGAAATACAAATGACCAGCAAATACTTGAAAGTATCAGAGCTGGAGAGATGGTTCAGCTGTTAAAAGTCTGTGTACTGTTCTTGCAGAGGACCTGCAGTTCAGTTCCCAGCACCCACATCCAGCAGCTCACAAGCCACCCATAACTCTAGATCCAGGGGATCCAGTGCCATCTCCTGGCTTCTGTGGGCACCTGTAATCAGATACACCCCCCCCCCACCAGACACACAGACACATAATTAAAAATAAAATTAATTAAAGAAAACTGCTCAATATCTTTAGCCATCAGGGAAATGCAAATTAAAACTGCTTTAAGATGACATCTCAAGGACCAGGATGTCTACCCTGAAGAAGACAACAAAGCACATGACTTTAAGCACTTGGGGAGCAGAGGCAGCAGAGCTCTGTGAGTTTTAGGACAGCCTAGTCTACACAGCTAGTTCCAAGCCAATCGAAGGTACAGACCTGTCTCAAAATAAAAGAAAGCAAATGATATCTAATTCTGGATTCTAAGTCCACATACCATAGAGACACTGAACTTCATGTTTATGGCTGCATTACTCACAGTAGCTAAGAAATGGACCAGCCTACATATTCATCAACAGATGGGGGACAAGGGCAGCGTGCTACATACACACAATGAAAATTTATTCCACCTTAAGGAAAAATTAAACTGAGCTGGTGAGATGGCGGCTCAGGAGGTAAAGCACTTTCTGTATGGGCCTGATGGCCTGAATTCGATTCCTAGAATCCATGTAAAAAGGAGATGTGATGGCTTGTGTCTATAATCTTAGCACTCCTATGGTGAGATGGGAGACAGAGACAGAAGAATCGGCTGGAAGCTTGTGTAAGCAGTGCACTGGCAGAAACAAGAGAGACTCTGCTTCAAAAACAAGGTGGAAGGAGATAACAGACTTTAGAAAAATCATTTCTGACCTCCCCATGCATGCTGTGGTGTGCATGTGCCCCTCCCCAACAAGTGTGTGCATGTACTCACAAACACACAAAACAAATAAGTAAACCTTTAAAAGCAAAAAAGTAAAATCACGACTTTGTAGGATAATAGATGGAACTAGGGGATCATGATGTTAAGTGAAATAAGCTAGACTCAGAAAGACCAGAACCAAGCTAGGTACTGAAGAAAACACAACACTTTGGGCTGGTTTGGTTTTTGTCAACTTGAAACAAGCTAGAGTTATCTGGGAGGAAAGAACCTTAGTTGGGGATTGCCTCCATCATATTGGCCTGTGGGAAAGTCTGTGGGGGGTTTTCTTGATTTATAACTGATGTGGGAGGACCCAGCCTACTGCAGGCAGTACCTTCTCTGGGCAGGAGGCCCTGGGTGGTATAAGAAAGCAGGTTGAGCAAGCCAGAGGAGCCCAAGCTGGTAAGCAGTACTCCTCCTTGGCCTCTGCTTCAGTTCCTGCCTCCTGGTTCCTTCCTTGAACTCTGCCCTGAGTTCCCTTCATGATGGACTGCAAGCTGTACAATGAAGCTTTCCTTCCCAAGTTGCTTTTGGTCATGGTCATTATCATACCAAAAGGAAAGTGAGACATATTGCACAAAAAGGTTTTGGGAAGTAGTGCTTTAGTATTCAAATATTTTTTTCTTACAATCTAAGTTGTTTATTATGCTCAGAGAGAATGAGTAAGCTTCAACACTTCTTTGTCCAAAATGTCACAAAAGTCTAAATGATGCAAGTCTCTTCCCTGAATGTTACTGTTTTGCATTGTGATGGCACCAAGAACTAAAAACCAAAAGGTCAGATGCTAATGTCTGGCTGTGAGTTTAAGAAAATTAGGAAATTCCTTGTTTCTTTTTTTTTTCTTCTTTTTTTGGTTTTTCAAGACAGGGTTTTGCTGCACAGCCCTGGCTATCATGGAACTCATTCTGTAGACCAGGCTGGCTTCCAACTCATAGAGATCTGCCTGTCTCTGCCTCCCAACTGCTGGGATTAAAGGCATGTGCCATCATTGCCTGACTCCTTGTTTCTTTTTTTTTTTTTTTTTTTTTTTCACTAGACAGCAGAGCTTGGGGCTCTTTATTGCCCCTCGGACTGAGCACTAGGAGGAGGCAGTACCATGCCTTTCTGCTGCAGCTGCTGGGCAACCACAGGGGGAAAAGGCCCCCACCTCTGTCTTGAGCTTGAAAGGTTGCTTGGTCCCTGAGTAGAGAGTGGAAGGGAACCTGCATGGCTGAGGACGGCTGACTCACATAGTCCAGTGGGCATAGAGTAGAGCGAGGAGGAGGAAGATGGCCACCGAGAGGAGCATGTTCTTCCGATTCTCTTGCCGAAGCCGCTTTAGCTCCTTCTCATACTTGGAGGCTCTGCTCATGAGGGTGGTTTTCTCCTTTTCCAGAGCCCTCCTGTCCTCAGGACTCAGCTCTGCCCTGTAGAGCTGCGAGGTCACAGCCTCTAGGTCCTTCCGACACTGAGACAGCTTCTCCTCTAGCCCATCAATCTCCTGAGCGACGCCGAGATTCTCCCGCTTGTTTTTAGTCATCCTTGCTCACCGTGTCCCCGCACCGGACCCGCCCACTAGGCCGCCTCCTTGTTTCTTTTTAAGCTGTATTTTTTATCTAATTCTATGTGATATTTAGATAGGATAAACAAGAAACCTCAAGTCAGAAAATATCTGTTAGAAAAGGAAGTAGAAATTAAATCTACCCATCTAATCTGTTTTCAGTGGCTCTATATTTGATAAAGCTAATAAAGTATCATTTCAGCCCTGGTCTGTGAAAATAGTAGAATACATCACAGGAAATGCTTTAGGATATTAGAATAAGTAAGACATACCCCCTCAAAAGAAAAAAAGAAAGAAAGAAAGAAAGAGAGAAAGAAAGAAAGAAAGGAAGAAAGAAAAGAAAAGAAATTTAAGGAACTAGGCAGATCTTCAGAATTGAAAAGCCTCTGTTAATGGACCAGATATATGACTGATTTAAACTCACGACTTGAGCTTGCCCTCCAAGAAGCATAGCTGAGCATTATTAGGCCTAGCCCCAGAAGTACTCAGCTTGAAGACTTTTCTTCTTCTTGTTATGGCGCTGGGGATGAGACTAGGGCCTTGCGCTTGCCGGGCCAGCACTCCAGCACTGAACTATAGCATCAGCCCTTTTAGTTTGGAGTCTCGCTAAGTTATCCAGGCTAGCCTTGAACTCACTTTGCAGTTCAGTAGGGCTTGAATTTGCCATCTTCCTATCTGTTTCCTGAGTAGCTTGGACCTTCATATCCCTGTGCTATCAGATCTGATTGGCTTTTGGGTACAGGTTGAACTGAAACATATCAGGAACTCAACTCAACTGAAATTTATGAAGTATTGTCATTGATATATATATGATTCTTTTTTTCTTTAAACAGGGTTTCATTGTGTAGCCCAGGCTGGCCTTGAACTTGTGATTCCTTATTTTAATCTCCAAAGCTCTGAGATTGCTACTGTCTGCCATTGTGGTGATTAATATTGTCATCTTGACAGATCTAACATCACCTAGGAGACAAGTCCCTGGATGGTCTAGATCACGTTAACAGAGGTGGGAAGACCCACCTTAGTATCCTCAGCTGGGATACTGGCAGCACTAAAAAGGAGAACACTATATAACACCGGCATTCCTCCCTTTCTGCTTTGTTACTGTGGCTGCCTCACATTTCCTGCTGCCATACTACGTACCCCACCATGACAGACTGGACCCTCAAACTGTGAGCCAAAATACACCTCCCCTCCTCTTTTGTTTTTTTGTTTTTTGAGATAGGGTTGCTCTGTGTAGCCTCGGCTGTCCTGGAACTCACACTGTAGGCCAGACTGGCCTCGAACTCAGAGAAAATCCTTCCTTCTCTAAGGTGCCTTTGTCATGTACTTTGTCACAGCAAGAAGAGAAGTTACTAATTCATACACTAAAGCTAAGGATAAGAATCTTACGGACTACTAGAATCCAGATAAAATTACTTCTGTCTTTTTTTTTTTTTTAAGACTTATTTATTATATGTACAGTATTCTGCCTGCATGCCAGAAGAGAGCACCAGATCTCATTATAGATGGTTGTGAGCCACCATGTGGTTGCTGGGAATTGAACTCAGGACCTCTGGATGAACAGCCAGCGATCTTAACCCCTGAGCCATCTCTCCGGCACCCTTCTGTGTTTCTTAGTGGCCACAGCAAACAAGAAAGGACTCCCAATGTCTCCCAAGGAGACCTGCTATAGACTTGCTGCTCTCCTGCTTACTGTAATTGCAAGACGGTGGAAACTTTAAGACCTGGGACCCAGAAATGGGTCTGCAGTTCCTCATTCTGTTTCATTTCCTGGCTATGATAAGGGGAGCAGCTTTCCAGGGACATGCTCTTCACCACAATGTACTGCCTCATCCCAGACTTAAAAGCAAAGGAGCCAAGTGTCCATGGACTGAAACAGGAGCCCAAATGAACCTTACCTCTTTAAATTGATTGCCTTGTGTATTTTGTGGAAGTAATGGAGGGCTAATGCCCCAGTTAGATTAATGCTGCTTGTAAGATAAAAAGTTATGTAGAGAAGCCAATGTTCTCCTGAAGCTGTATCCCCAAGGGAATATCTCCAGTGTGTCCTCCTGGGGAAGAAGCTGACATCCTAGCAGATTGGGCTAGCAATGAAAATCCCCATGTTTAGAGTAAAAAGGCATTCCTTTGAGTGGAGTGTGATTAAACCCTTCTCTCGTAAGTACAATTCAGCCAAATCAGTTCTATGTGGAGCAAACACCTGTAATCTAAATACACATGACTCTGGCTGATCCAGTTTGATCCAAAGGTAAATTTTAGGATAACCAGTAGAATGGAGAATTTGCAAACCCTTCCATCAACACTATTTCGCGAAAGTTAGTGTTTTGCTAAGGGATTAGAGAGCAAGAAGTTCAAGACTGGATTGTCTGGTAAGAGCTGGAGTGCAGGTGTTGTGAGTTAACAGTGTATGCCTTGACCACTGATGACTTGAGGGAAAAGGAAAAAGTGTTCTCGAAATTGTTTTTGTGGCTTGGGTAAGCATCCCCAAAGACCTATGTGTTAAAGACTTAGTTGCTAGCCTGGGGTACTACTGGGGGTTGGCAGAGCCTATAAGAAGAGGGGCCTAGTGAGAAGTTCTCTGATCAATGGCCACCCTTGAGGGCGACATACGAACCCTTGGGTTCTTCCTTCCTTCATTCGCTTTCTGGCTACTAGGAGGTGATCAGCTTTCTGCATTAACTAATCCTACCACAAGGATCTTATCACAGGCCCAAAGGCAAGGAGGGCAATCAAATATGGACTGAAATCTCCAAAATCTGAGCTCAAACAAGCCTTTACTCTTCACAAGTCGGCATTGTGAGGCATTTGGACACAGTGAAGAAAGCTGGAAACACTGTCCAGCTCCTCACGTAGGTAGGTGAACAGCTCTTGGCAATCCTGTCTCATAGCTCCCAGACTTGTTTGAACCGTTTTTCTCAGCTTAAGATAATAGTAAAAATCATTAATAGTACATGCATTATTTTGGTTTAATGATGTGAAAAAGGCATTTTGATTTGTGTTTGTAGAACTCAAGGCAGCAGGCATGCTGGGGAAGTAAGCGCCCACTCATCTGCACCCCCCTTCCCAGTTCCAACCAGTTCTTTAACAGGCTCCCACTTTGTCTATTTGGCTGTGATCAGGCAGGATAGGTAAAGTCCTCATTTAATACACAGGAGCCAAGACGGGAGGAGTGGGCTCTACCTCACATCTGGGACTAACATTCTACAACTTTTGCCCTGAAATAAATACCTTGCCTCTGGCCTTTGAGGACGACAGCTGAGTTTGTTTTAGCATGCACCTATCAATCCTTTGTGGAATATGAACTACCAGGAGGCAAGGAAATCGGTTTCTTTAGAGAATCCCAGAGAGACTGCTAGATTTGGCCCAGATTATGCGGTAAAATCTTCCCTGAAGTGATAAAAGTGTTAAGGTCAGAAATGTACATTTAAAAGGCTGCTATGCCACCGGATGGCTTGCAGTTTTCAGTACCTGTATACAACCTTTATTTGGGGGCACTAGCAGCCTCTCTTTGCCATCCACGACACTCATCTTGTGGAGTGTTGCTGGAAGCTGCCACCCCTTCTTTCTCTCCCCAGCTCCAGTGAAGGTTAACAGTGGACTACTCAGCAGCACCCACCCAGGAAACACTGTGCATATTAACACAGGCAAAAGCCTGCTGGGAAGCTCCACTGTCCCTGTGCTAATTGCCCAAAGTCATTATTGTTGTGGCTTTCTTCAGGGGATTAATTCATTGGGTCACATGTGCAGCAATGATTGTTGGAGACTGAGGAAGCCATTTAATGGCTGAAAAAAATGAAGAGGCGCCTGAGGCTGGCATGCAGCTGTGGCATTGCCTGCTTTTTACCAAGTTCATGGAAGGCTCAGAGGCAGCTGAACGGGCACAGGAAAGATGAGCGGGGCTCTCCAGAGCATGCCTATATCCCTTCAGCTCAACTCTTGCTCAGTAAAGATGCTAAGTATTTACAATGAGCAAAAGTGAAGATTTCTTGCAATGTTTTGCATTTCTAAGTGGTTTTGTAACTATCCCCTCCCCCTGACAGTTTTGAAAACAGAATGAGTTCAGTTAAAGTTAAAAGCTGGCCAGGTCCAGAACAGAGCCGTTGTCGCCTGAATTTGAGATTATTTTCCATATTTATTCCTGAAATTCTGTTTGGAAAATACAGGGTGTTCCTACCATCGTGACTCTTCTGTGTAGAGAAAAGACATCATCATTATCATCATTAAAGTTCTGGACACTTATAATCAAAAGAGGTTGTATTTTGAATCCGTTTTATAAAGGAGATCAGGACAAAAGTCAGGAGAACATATTAAATGTTCATTTTTAATTTAAAAGTAAAATGTACTTTCGGGGAAGAATTAATATGGTATGTAACATTGCTTCTCAAATGTCAATGTGTCTACAATTCACTCTCATTAAAAGGGTGTTAGGGTAAAGGGGGCTGAGAATTTGCATACTGGGCAGAATTCAAGCAATGCTGGCACTGCTCATTCATAAACTAGATGCATAGAAACATACATTTCCTAGCAATATTTCCATCACCAAGAGAATTCTGAAATAATCTTGACTAATCATTAAAAAGAATATTCTTTTAAAAGTCTTTTATTTTATGTGTGTGAGTGTTTTGCCTGCATGTTTGTGTGTGTACCATTTGAGTGCCTGGTGCCTGCAAAATCCAAAAGATGGTGTCTGGTCCCTTAGAACTGGAGTTACAGATGGTTGTGAGATGCCATGTGGGTGCTGGGAACTGAACCTGGGTCCTCTGTTAGAACAATAAGTGTTCTTAACCACAGAGCCATCTCTCCAGCCCCCCAGAAGGACATTTTCTTAAAGCTAAATATCTGGAATTAAGAATTCTGGAAAGACATGTCTGCCTTTTTTTTTTGTGAGATAAACTTATGTGTACAAACTACATCTACAGAACCTCTCATTATTATTTTACTGGCTTTAATTATTCATACATACTTTCACCCTAATTTTAACATATTATATTAATTAATTTTAAG